AAGTTTACTCCATGGTAGGAGTTCTCATTTTCAAATGCTCTATAAAATGTGAACTCATTGACACACCGAGGAAGTGTATGTTTGTAGAGAGTTGTAATGACTACTACTGCATGCTGAAGACCCCTTTCTGAGTGAGACGACTTTGCAGTAAGGTCCTGCTGCTAACTTTCACGGGAGTTTTATTTACGTGAATTGTGTTTGTAAATAATATGAAATTCCTTCTGTGGTCTCTTACAAAGACGGCTCCAGCAGTACACTTACACAGCCCAGATTACTCTTCAGCGTTTAAAAAGTTGGGTCTCTGTAAATGTAAATCTTTCTTTTCAGTACGCGTGCTATGCCATCGGTAAGGATGTGCAGGCCATGAAAGCTGTCGTTGGAGAAGAAGCCCTTACCTCAGATGATCTTCTTTACTTGGAATTTCTGCAGAAGTTTGAGAGGAACTTTATTGCTCAGGGTAAGAGGACTATTTTCTTACAAGCATCAACAGCCTCAGATGTAGTTTTGAAGACCTCTTTCCCAGTCTGAGAGAATTTACATTGGTCTGTACAGTTTTCCTTTTGATTAGAGGAGGGTCTTCCAACTACCTTGTCACGTCTTTGTACTTAGCCCCGGGGTCTTCCCCTCTGCCTTCAAGTCCATTATCCGGTTATTTAGTTCCAGCCTTGCTTTCTCCCTTCCTTACAACCAGCCTCCTTTGCCAGGCCTCCTTCCTCCTAACCCTCTGCAACTGTTTCCTCTGGCTTTGGGGGTTTGGGACTTTTCTGATCCATCTGGTTTCACCTCCATTTCTGATTTCTTTATCTCCCTGCTTCCTAATTGTTTCTGTCCCCAAAGGCTTAGTTGCCTGTTCTTCCTGTGCTTTTAGTCCCCCTAGTTTTGGCCTTTCCCCTCTGCTTTTGACTGAATTGCTATGTTTGAGCCTTACCCTCTTTCTGAAACCCTAAGCCCACATCTCCAGCTGGCACACCTTTGTTTATGCCACCATCCCTCAGCCTTAGTGTGGTAAGAACCAAAGTTTTTGCCCAGCTGACCACCTGTCTAGCAGTTCCTTCTTCAGTTCCTGTCTACCTCTGGCACGACCACTGTCCTAGTTAGCCCAAGCTCAGTAGTTGGGCATCGTTCCTAAGATCCTGGTGATGTTGAAGCTACTGATCTCTGACCGCTTTGAGTCTTAAGACCTAGTCCAAACCTTTGGTTTCGTCATCCCGGGCCATCAGCGCCAGCTTTTTCACCCGTCTGCCTGACTCCCCATACACCATTGTCAGAGTAGATTTCATACAAATTTTATTGATTGCCCCTCGACTAAAAAGTCGATAGTGCTTTTCATTTCATAGCACACGTAAGATTTTCAAGCTCTTTTGCTTTGTCTCTCCCCTGCCACCCTGCTGATGCTGGTAATACTCTATTCCTGACCTTGGTGGTACTTACAACAGATGTGTCTATTTTGGAATAATGCATCAAGCTACACACTTAGGATTTGTGCACTTAGGATTTCTATTTAAGAAATCCTAAGTGGATTTCTTACACTTAGGATTTCGTACACTTAGGATTTCTATTTAAGTAATACATTTTTTATTAACATTAAAATCCCCAAGATGTATATGATTATTGGGGGGGGGGGTTTGTTTCTTTTTTTAATGCAGACCTTAATACCTTAAAAGATAAAAATGAAGTTCTTTTGGTAGAGAAAAGAACCCAGAACAGCAGTCACTCTGATTCCTTAGTTAAGAAATGAGATTTATTTGAATGATAAGGATGCTTAAGCTTTTAAAAACAGTAATAACAACTTTGAAAACCACTGACCTATTCAAATGCTCAGTTGGCATTTAAGGCTTCTCGTATCTGTACAGGCCTGTCAAATTCAGCCTGTTCCTGGGAAACTTTTTCTCACTATTTGGACAACACACTGGGTTAGTTTTCATTGCTCAAGTTTAGATCCTACCCAATCCTACCCAAGTTGTCAGTGCCCCCCCCTCCCCAAGCCGGAAGGCCTCCCCTTCCCTCTGATTCCCTGTGGCACTCATTGTCTGTGCCCCCATTTCCACATTCGCTCACATCCAGTCCTGGGAGACCTCACTCTTCTGT